GGCCACACCACGGTCCCTTCTCCTCTTGGAATTTCGGGCATGCATGCACATGTACCCAGCGTGATTTTGAAGCCGCTGAGTCTAAGACTTGAACCACAATTGGTCATGTGAGAGTCCAGCACCTTAACCATTAAACCTGCTGGTCCCTTAGTTTTCTTAATTTTTCTTCTCCTTCTTAAACTGTTTTGGCTATAGGATGTATGTGCTAACTGGAGAGAGACAGAAAGTGAGAGATCACCCCCTTGGGCGGATGGCCCCACAGCAGTCCCCTCTCCGTTCTCCTCCTGGAATTCGGGCATGCACCAGGCTCAGTTTTTAAGCTACTGGGTCTGAGGCTTGAACCGCACAGTCGGCCATGTGCACATGAGTGAAAGGGGGAGGAGTGCCCTCCATGGGGCGTGGCTGTGCTGTGGTCCCCTTCCCCAGCCCGCCAGATCCCGGGCACTTGCCCCGTGCCCGGTGTGTCTCAGGTGAGCCTGGCCAGGGGTTCTGAGTGCAGCCAGCAAGTGGAACGCGGCTTCTCTTACGTCCTGAGCCACCAGGGGCCTCGGTCATCTTCAGTGAGTGAAGGAGGTTGGGGATGAAGTTTGAAGCCTGCCAGTGCAGTGGAAGTGAGTTCTTTGGATTCTGTGGCCTGGCACTTGCTCGATCGTTTCATTAGGTGTGACCAGACCAGTCCACCGGCCAGGAAGAGCTGGCCTGTCTCTCCCACGCTCCACCAAGGAGATAGTCGTCAGCAGGAGGCCCAGGACCCGGCCTTGGCAAAGCCGGCACTGGGAAGCAGAGTGACTGTTTTTGAGCAACTTTGTGTGAGGCAGGAACTGTGGCCGCTCTACCGAGGGCCGGGGAGGATATTGAGAAAGAGGGGGCAAGAAATGTCGGTAAGCAGCTGGAGCGATGCCAGGTGGCCCCACCGAGTCCCCACCGGGTACGCTCTGGGGGGCGTGGCCCTGCCCAGTCCTGGAGTTCACCTGCCCGGTTCCCCACCACAGCCCTGGCCGGGAGGTGCTTCATGAATGCTTAAAGGCATGATTCCCATGTCAGCGGGTGACTGCCATGTTGAGTTTTTTCCAGAACAGCTCCCCACTGCAGCGGGTCAGGACGGGGGCGGTGCGGCACTCTGTTACCCACTGCAGCGTGCCGGGTCTCAGTGCCGTGCAGGTTAGCACACAGGGCCTCCCCGCGCCCGTGCCCGAGGTGCCTGTAACGCGGGGTGTGGGGCAGGGATGAAGCTCAGTCCCTGAGCTCATGTAGCTGGAACAGGGTTTGGCAAACGACACAGTGGCTGGCCACTCCCTGTGTTTAACCATCAAGCTTCGTTGGAACACCTCTGCCCAAGGAGTCGCCACGCAGCAGAGCTGAGTCAGCGGGCCGGGTAGTACGACCTGCACGCTGCAGTGTTTGCTGCCTGGCCTTTTAGGAGAAGCCTGCCAGGGCCAAGTGGGCACCGTGGTAACGCAACTGGGCCCCCATGGGAAGGTCCTGGGCCCTGTCCCGGAACCTCGCTGAGCACGTGCCCGCACCCACCACCCAGCTTCACAGCATGAAGACCATGGGTCGTGCCTGCCTCTCCATCCCTCCCTCCTCTTTCCTTTCTCTCTCTCTGTCTGTCTCTCAGAGAAGAAAAACTTTTTCTAAAAAGGAGAGAAAAGCTGTGCTTATTATTTTTTTTAAAAAGAACTCTTTTATATTACTTTATTTGCTTACATATTTATTTAAATTTGACCAGAGAGGGACAGAGTGAGAGAGAGATAAGGACAGTGAGAAGACAAGCTGCCAGGTCTGGGACGCGAACCATGGTTGGCCATAGGGGAGCGCAGCGCCCTTAACCACCACGCCACCTGCCGGCCCTGAGGAAAGCTGCGCTCGCTCTCTAAGAGACAGGTGTGTCAGTGGCTATGAAGAAAGGAGGGGTCAGGGCAGAGCTGCCCACAGCACTGGGCCCAGACCCAGTGAGGGGAGGTTCAGAAGGTTCTGGAAGGCGTGTCCTGCGCCTGGGCAGGGAGATGCCATAGCTGAGGCCCGCAGCGGGAAGGCGGGGGCATGCAGGGGTAGCAGACAAGCATTCTGCTGACAGCTTTTGTTTTCTTTCTCTTGAGAGAGATTTTCGCTGAGAAATCACCCGCCTGGGGGGATGGCCACACTACAGTCCCTTCTCCATTCTCTTCTCGGATTTGGGGCACGCACGCACACGCACCCGGTGCATTTCAAGTCACCAGGTCGGGTACTCACACCCTGGTCGACCATGCCGGAGTTCAGAGACGTAACCATTATGCCATCTGCTGGTCCCATTTCCCCCCTTCTTTTGATAGCTGTTTTTAAAAAGTCTTTGAGAAGAGTAGGAAGAAATGGTCAGGGAGTCTCTGGGAGCGGACGTCGGCACATGCGTCTGGGTGCAGGCGAGGTGGGAGGAGGGAGGGACTCGGAGGCACGTCTCTGAACCCAGAGGAAACTCGGCCGTGCTTGGGTCCTGGGGGTGCCGGGGGGGGGGGGTGGCCGCCTTCCTTCAGGGTCTCAGGAACCGGCTTTGCCCCAGAGCGCACGTTCCTGAAGTGGTTTCAGTTACTTCACAGTCCGAGGTTGGCCCAGCTAGAGGTAGGTGGCCATCCCAGGAGCAGTCAGGTGTGCCCTGGCTCCTGCCCCGGGGCGGGGGTGAGAGCTGGCAGGCCAAGCCTGGCTTTTCCAGGCGAGGAAGCAGGTCAGGCAGGTAGTGTGATCTTAGCCAGTTAGGGCTGGTCTGCACTTCCAGGCAAGTCTAGTCCCAGAACACAGGTGCCTGGATTTTTAACCTCATGCTCAGTGTGTTTTTACCTTAGAATTATTGCCAGGCTATTAAAACCAAAACCTGTGTGTTTTTAATTTTGTTTTGTTTTATTTTGGGAAGAGGTTTTTCTATTAGGCACGTGCGCTCACTAGGAAGACAGAGACAGCTTTTTGTCTAGAAAGCAAGAAATCACCCCCCCCCCCGGGGGGATGGCCACACCGCAATCCTTTCTCCCCCATTCTCCTCTCGGGATCTTGGGCACACACACGCGCCCTGAGTGAGTTTGAGCCACTGGGTCTGGGACTCGAACCATGGTCGACTACATGGGAGTCCAGCAACATAGCCATTACGCTAACTACTGGTCCCCCAATGGTAAGTTTTTAAACAGCCTCATTGAGGTATAACTGACACACACATATATACATATATTTATTTGGAGTAGGTGAAAGTGCCTTTTGTGTTTTTTTGCTTTTGGGTGTGTGCTTGCTAGAGAGAGGCAGAGAGAGAGATCTAGAGAGAGAAGGTGAGAAATCACACCCTAGGGAGGATGGCCACACCACAGGCCCTTCTCCTCCGTGGGTACACACACACGTGTGCCTGCCTGGTGTGATTTTCAAGTTACTGGGTCCAGGATTCGAACTGCGAATTTGATATGTGAAGTCCAGCCTTCTTAACCTCCATGCTACCTGCTGGCCTTGTATTTTTAAATTGAAATACCAACAGGTTGTTACATTATTTTCTAAAACAATAGAAGAAAAAAAAAAACACAAAATGAGTAGGTTAAGTCCCAAAGTAATGCATTTAAAGGTGACAGGGTTAGAAATTAAAAAGCAGGTCCTCGGGTCCAGTTCGGGAGCCCTGCTCCATGCAGGCCTGTCACCACCAGTGGTGCTGGAACTCCTTGACTCCAGGAGGCTGGAAGACACCCTAATAACCCCACCCAGAACATTTACTTCAGGGAGCCTTTTTCTGGTTTCCAGCTCATGAAGAAAGATAATATTTTGTTAATTCTGTTTTGGAAAACTTTCCCCAAGTTGCTGTATTTATATGCCAGCTTTTTAAAAGGTCACCACAGTTAACTGGATAATCAGCTAGGCTGGAAGGCTTTCCAGAAAGAGGAGCAGGCCCAATGCCACTTTTCTTGTTATTTTTTAAATCATTATTTTATTTAACTTAATTTAGTTTGACTACAGAGGAGGGACAGAAGGAGAGAGAGAGAGAAATCAAGTCGCGGAGTCCAGGACTTGAACTGCAGTCGGCCTTAACCACTGTGCCACCTGCTGACCCCAACCACTTTTCTTTTCTTTTTTGAGAGGTTTTTGCTATAGGGCACGTGTGCTTGCCAGACAGACAGAGACAGACAGAAAATGAGAAGTCACCCCCCAGGGGGTATGTCCACGCCACAATCCCTTCTCCTCCATTCTCCTCTCAGGATCTTGGGCACGCATGCACATGCGCCCGGCATGAGTTTAAGCCACCAGGTCCGGGACTCGAACCGCGGTTGGCTACGTGGGAGTCCAGCCACATAGCCATTACGCTAACTGCTGGTCCCTCAACTTTTCTGTAGAGAACTCACAGTTCAGTTTTATTCACAACAAAGGAGAAAAAAGAGAAAACTGCGGGCCACACTAGAAGATTCAGCCGTGGGTCTGGAACCCGCACAGATCACACATGCAGTGAGGACGGTGTTCTGATGCTGCTGAGGGCTCCGCCTCTGTGCTGTTTGTTGACTTTTTTTCTTTTTCCCATTTATTTATTTTTACATTTTTCCACAAACATTTACTTTACATATCAAAAAATTTTTGCTCATATGCCATAGTTTGTTGATTTTTTTAAAAAGAATTATTTTATTGGGACCAGCAGTTAGCATAATGGCTATGTCTCTGGACTCCCACGTAGTCGACCACAGTTCGAGTCTCGGACCCGATGGCTTAAAATTCACGCCGGGCACGTGTGCATGCATGCCCAAGATCCCAAGAGGAGAACGGAGAAGGGATTTCGGCATGGCAATCCCCCCTTGGGGGTGATTTCTCACTTTCTGTCTGTCTGTCTCTGTCTGGTGAACGCATGTGCCCCATAGCAAAAAAAAAACAAAGAAAGAATGAAAAGAATTATTTAACCTTATTTATACATTTACTTATTTCCGTTTGACCAGAGATGGACACAGAGAGAGAAAGTGAGAAAGCAAGCCACCAGGTCTGGGACTCGAACTCCCATATGGAGTCAGCCTTAACCACCACGCCACCTGCTGGCCCATTTGTCGACACTAACAGCCGCACACCGCAGGGCGACGAGCACGTGGAGCAGCCCTCGGTGTCGCCAGGCACAGCCCCTCACCCTCCACGGCTGCTCCGTGTACCGGGCTTCCTCCCCGCAGGGAGTCAGTTGCCGATGAGGGTCTCGGTGTCTCCTCGGCCGTTGCCCTTGGCTTGCGGGCTGCGGTCTCACATGGAGCATTGAGCAAACCTTGGATGCCCATGTTCTCTGCCGCCAGGACAGGTTCAAAAAGTGCTCCCTGGTCAACCTGCGGGGAGTCTCGGTCCCCAACAGGAGTGCCACGTGCCGGCCCTTCTCTGCTCTCGTCCTCCTCTGGGGGAGGTCGGCCCGAGGTCAGCACAGCACTCAGTGACTTCTAAATATGGCCGCGTGAACACTTGGGAGAGGAACCGGGTCGCCTCCTCCTTCGTGGTCCATTCCCAGATGTCCCGACGGCCTGGACAGTCACAGGTGGTCAGTTTCCATGCCACCCTCGGGTCTCTCCCTGTCGGCGCTGCAGCTGGATTGCAGGCAGGGCGTTCGGGCTCTTAGAGACGGCTCGCCGGAGGCTGGGGAGAGTGGGGCAGCATCAGCGGACAGGAGAATGGTGGCAGAATGTATTTAAAGTACGTAATTGAGGGGCCAGTAGGTGGCATGGAGGTCAAGGCACTGGATTCCCACATGGCCAGCTGTGTTTCGAATCCTGGATCTGGCAGCTTGAAAATCAGGCCGGGCACACGTGTGTGTATGCAAAAGGTCCCAAGAGAATAATGGAAGAGAAGGGATTGCAGCATGGCCATCCCCCCTGGGGGCGATTTCTCTTTGTCTCTGGCAAGCACACACAGTTTATGGCAAAAATGAAAAAGGCGAGAAATTCAAGAACTTTTGATCCATAAGGGAATTCAAAAAGTTCATGGAAAGGTAGAATGAAAGTGTAAGTTTATTGTTAAATTTTTGTTTATTTATTTTAGGTTTTTGCTATAGAGCGCATGCCCTCATTAGAGACAATGAGAGGGCAAGTGAGAAGTCACTCACCAGGGGTTTGGCCACGCGGTAATCCCTTCTCCTCCATTATCCTCCTGGGATTCAGGGCAGGTCCGCACACATGCCCGGTGTGTGCAGAGCGGGTTTTCCCAGCACGAATGCAGCACCTATCAATCAAATCAAAGATGTTAGCATACCTCTTATCATCAGCAGATCACTTTTCACTTTTGTGTCTATTAATTTTTTTCCTTGACCCCCCCCCTTTCCCTTCACCCTCAATAGTCACCTTTTTAAGAAGCCACTTGTTTTCAGGGGGCCCAGCAGTTAGCGTAATGGCTATGTCGCTGGACTCCCATGTAGTCGACCACGGTTCGAGTCCCGGACCCGGTGGCTTGAACTCACGCCGGGCGCGTGTGCGTGCGTGCCCAAGATCCTGAGAGGAGAATGGAGGAGAAGGGATTGCGGCGTAGCCATCCCCCCCGGGGGGTGATTTCTCGTTTTCTGTCTCTCTGTCTCTCTCTGTCTGTCTGGCTAGCTAGCCCCCCCTAAAGAAAAACCCTCTCAAAAAAAAAAAAAAAAAGAAAAGCCAATTGTTTTCCAAAGTAGTTGCATCATCTTACAGTGTCACTAGCAATGCGGGGTGTTCCAGTGGCTTCCAGTTCCTGCCAACCCTCCTGTTTAATTTCAGCCTCACTAATGGTTATGCAATGATCCCTCTCTGTGGTCTGCGTTTCCTAATGACTGACGGTGTTGCACAGCTTTTTGTGTGCGTGTTTACCTTCTGTCTGTCTCCTTTGCTTAATTACGTTCATCCAACTCTTTTGCCCATTTCGGGTTACTTGTTTCTCAGATTGTTGAAAATTGACAGCACTTTATATATTATGAATAGAAGTCCTTGAGAAAAGAAAAAAAAAATTATAATAATAATAATAAAAAAAAATAGAAGTCCTTTAGCAGGTATGTGATTTGCAAATGTTTTCTTTCAGAATGTGACTTGTGTTCTCATCATCTTTTTTTTTTTTTTAAAGAGATTTTTGCTACAGGGCATGAAGGTTCATTGGAGACACAGAGGGAGAGAGAGAAAGTGAGAAATCACCCCCTCCCCAGGGGGAATGGCCATTTTGCAATCCCTTCTCCATTCTTTCGGGATTGTGGGCATGCGAGCACACATGTCCAATGGGAATTTTAAACCACTGGGTCCAGGACTTGAACCACACACAATCAGCCATGTGCAAGTCTAACACCTTAACCACTATGCCACCTACTCACCACTCCCATCTCATTATCTTAACAGTGTCTTGTGCTTTTTCTTATACGGATTGTGGGTTTTGTATATGTATCCAAGAAATCTTTGCTCAAACCAAGGTCACAGAGATTTTTCTCCTTGTCTTTTCTTTCTATAATTAGATGCTTTACATTTAGGCCAGTGATCTATTTTGAATTCATTTTGGTATTACAGAGCAAGGAATGGATCGAAGTTCTGTTTCTCCCTGTTCTGCTTCATTTTTTTAATGGGTAGTCAGGTGTCCCAGTTCCATTTGTGGAAAGGACTGTTCTTTCTCTAGCGAATGACATTTGCACCTTTGTCGTAAATCAGTTGCTCACGTGTCCGTTTCATCACTCTCAGTTCTGCGCCGTTGGCTTTTACGTCTGTCTTGTTTATACCACACTGTCCGGATCACAGTGTTGTTCCTGGGTACAGTAGTTAGTCTTGAAGGCAGGTATGTTTGTCGTCCAACTTTGTTCTCCCTTTTCAAAATTATTTTGGGGGACCAGCAGATGGTATAGCTGTTATGTCGCTGGACTCTCGCATAGTCGACTGAGGTTCGAGCCCTGGACCCAGTGGCTTGAAACACACACTGGGCACTTGTGTGCATGTGTACCCAAACTCCCAAGAGGAGAATGGAGGAAAAGGGATTGCTATGTGGCTACTCCCCCCGGGGAATGATTTCTCACTTTCTGTCTCTGTGTCTCTGGCAAGTGTACACACCATAGAGCAAAAATCTCTTAAAAAAATTATTTCTGTAAAAAATAAAAAAAAATAAAATAAAAAAAAATTAAAAAAAATAAAAAAAAATTATTTCTGGGGACCAGCAGTTAGCGTAATGACTATGTCGCTGGACTCCCACGTAGTCAACCACGGTTAATGTCCCGGACTCGGTGGCTTAAAACTCACGCCAGGCGCGTGTGCGTGCATGCCCAAGATCCCGAGAGGAGAATAGAGAAGGGATTGCAGCATGGCCATCCTCCCTGGGGGGTGATTTCTCTCTTTCTGTCTCTATGTCTCTGTCTGTCTGGCGAGCGCATGCGCCCTATAGCAAAAACCTCTCCAAAAAAAAAAAATTATTTCTGATACACTAAGTCCTTTGCATTTCTGCATAAATTTTAGATTCCGTTTGTCAGTTTCTACATAAAGTCCTCCTAGAATATTGATTGGGATTGCATTGAATCTGTAAATCCATTTGGGTAGAATTTTGGTATGTATTTTTTTGGAGAGGTTTTTTTCGCTATAGGGCGCATGCGCTCGCCAGACAGACAGAGAGAGACACAGAGACAGAAAGCGAGAAATCACCCCCCAGGGGGGATGGTCACGCCGCAATCCCTTCTCCTCCATTCTCCTCTCGGGATCTTGGGCACGCACGCACATGCGCCTGGCGTGAGTTTTAAGCCACCAGGTCCGGGACGCAAATCGCGGTTGACTACATGAGAGTCCAGCGACATAGCCATTACGCTAACTGCTGGTTCCTGAATTTTGGTATCTTTACAATGGAAATAAAATTAGTGTGTATGTGCTCACAGAGAGAGAGAGAAAGTGAGAAAGCACCCACCCTCTCTACCCCCTCCCTTCCAGGGGGAATGGCCACACCACAATCCCTTCTCCTGTTTTCCTCTTGAGATTTTTGGGCACACATGCACATGCACCCAAAGTGTTTTTCAGGCTCCCTGGTTAGGACTCAAACTGTGCGACTTGTGGGATCCAGCCACCTTCACCACCATGCCGCTGGCTGGCCCCAATGTCTTCACGATTTGAATCTACTGATCCATAAACACTGTCCATCTCCCCATAGGTTTAGGTCTTTTAAAAATTTCTCTCACTGGGGCCAGCAGGTGGCATGAAAGTTAAGGTGATGGGCTCCCATATGTCTAACCATGGTGCAAATCCCGGTCCTGGTGGCTTTAGAATCATACTGGGTACTTGTACGTGTGCCCAAAGTCTCAGGAGGGAAATGGAGAACGGTCTTGTGGGATCCAGATCCCGGTAACTACTGCACTCCCAGGCCAGCCCACCCGTTCTTGCTTTTCATCTTGGTTAGGCCGGACTAGAGCAGTGTTCAGCCCAGAGCGGACTTTTTCCTGCCACTGAGCCGACTCTCCTGAGCTGATGGTCTCTACCCAGAGCCACGGGCCCCGGGCATGGCGAGTGTTTCCAGCCTGGCTCGCGAGAGCAGGCACTGCCTGTGGCCCTGCTGAGCCAGGTTTGGTGCTCCCTGTTGTCCCTGTAGAGTGGCTCTGTTCTCGCCCTGGGCCGCTGTCCTCGCCAGCTCTGCCCAGGGTGTGTCCTACGGCCTTGTCTTTGTGCCGCTCCCTCCTTCCTGAACTTTTTCTGCCTTGATTGTCCCAAATTTTTTTAAAATAACTTCTGAGAAAGGCAAAGAGAGGTGCCCCAACAAGGTTCTTCATACCAGGGTCTACCCGTGTCAGCTGACCCAGATCGCTAGCACGCGTGTGTGCCCCCGGGATGTGAACTAACGACTGCTCTCACATGAGTCCCATTCATTCCCACTGTGCCCCCATCTGGTTCCCATCTCCCCAACTTACTTTACATATATTTGGAAGTCTGGGCACACACATCCCTGGCATACTCAGGGGGGTTCCTGGACTTGAACTGGGGACCTTCTCACTTGGGGTTGCATCAAGGAGTGTCGTTCTTTACCACTGCCCTCCTGTCTGACCCCTGCTCAGTTTTCAGCTGCATCTCTAGGAGTCTGGCAGCTCTGCCCGGGCTGCAGCTCCCTGCCTGGCAGCTGGAAATGTGTTGCAGGCTCCCCCCATTCTCCCATGTGCTTCTGACGCTTTTTTTTTTCTTTTCTTTTCTTTTCTTTTCTTTTTTTTTTTTTTTTTTTTTTTTTTTTTTTTTTTTTTTTTTTTTTTTTTTGAGTGTTTTTTTCTATAGGGCGCTTGTGCTCGCCAGAAAGACAGGAGAGACAGAGAGACAGAAAGCGAGAAATCACCCCCCAGGGGGGGTGGCCACACCACAATCCCTTCTCCTCCATTCTCCTCTTGGGATCTTGGGCACGCACGCACACACGCCCGGCGTGAGTTTAAGCCACCGGGTCCGGGACTCAAACTGCGATCGAGTACATGGGAGTCCAGCGACATAGCCATCACACTAACTGCTGGTCCCGTGCCTTTTTAATTTTTTTCTTTTAAGAAGCATTTATTTAATTCCATTTGTTACTATTATTTTTTAAATTTCACCAAAGAGAAAGGGAAAGTGAGAAAGCAAGCCACCAGGTCTGGGACTGGAACCACGGTTGGCCATACGGAAATCCAACGCCCCTAACCATCACACCACCTGCCAGCCCCGTGCTTCTGACTCTTGGGGTTCACTGCCTGATGCCCAGTGTCTGGAGAACTGGCTATGGGCTGGTTGGTTTGTCCTCTTAGGAGTTTTAGGAAGGCAATGAAATCCAGTTCCTATAACCTCATCTTGGCCAGAGCCTTTATCCGACAGACCAGCCGGTGACTGCTTCATCAACGTTCTGTATGTCGTAAAGGTCGCCTTTTACGACCTGTTGGATTGATTTTCTGCGTGTGTGGGAAGGAGAGAGCACTGAATTACGGCTCCTTCCCTCGGGCCCGCCCTCCCTTTCCCATCTGAGAAATCAGCCCGTCCTGAGCTGGGGGCCTGTCCATGTTTGTCCGACCCTGTGGGTGTGTGGGTGTCCCAGCCTGTGTCCACGGCCCTCCTCCCCACGGCTCAGCGCGGGCCAGGTGTCTGCCTGGGGTAGTGGTAGTCGGGGCCGGGGACTCGGGCGTCACTTGCAAGTCCCACAGGCACGTGGTGAGCTCATCTTCCTGGACAAGTGCAAGCGGTGTCGGAGCACTGGTGGGACAGGTCTCCCGTGCGAGAGGAGATCCCGCTTCCTCCTGTGTGTAAATGGGGAAGGGGAGGGGCACGGCGGGGGTGCTTGGTTCCTCCTGCGTCTGCGTCCGCGGGCTGGCCAGCGGGACTCCCTCCTCGCCATGTGGTTTACCCGCCTGTCCATCAGCGGCGCCAGCCTGGGTGTCTGCAGGCTTTGTCTTCAAGGGCCGGCCACTCTCAGCTCTGCAGGCCTGTCTGTCGTGGTCACCGCTCCATGGCAGCCATGGACAATGCATATTCATGGCCGTGTTCCAGTAAAGCATTATGTAAACACCAGGTGAGGGGCAGTTGCTGGCCCACAGCGGCTGTTCACCCTGCCTGGGCTCACGCTGTGCGCTGCTCCGTGATTTAGTGCCTTTCTCCAGGCCCCCGCCACGGTTGCTCCCAGGAACTGTCGCCAGCTTCACAGTGCATAATAAAACAGAGATCTTAGCGGAACGGTCTGCTCCGGCTCCGTCTAGCACAAGGACAGGTCAGGGCGGGCCCCCTCCAGGCCTCCGGTGTCTGACCCTCCTTCCCTTTCCAGTCCCGGGTTTCCAGTCCTGTCCCAGCCAGGTCCCCATCTGTCAGGCCCTCCTGTCTCTGGGATCTGCTCACCCCCACTGGCTCTGGAACACTCCCCTCACTACATGATAAGTACCTGGGGACCCTTGGCCGGCCTCCTGGGAAGCGCGGTAGCACCCGCCTGCACTCAGATGCACCCCAGGGCCCTCTGCTAGGCCGGTCTCTCTGGTGGTGGTGGTGGGCCTGCTGTTTGAATCCTCCTGCGGGGGCTGCTTACTTCGCACACACAGGCACCTGTGTATGTGTCCCTGCCCTGGTGACCCAGGGGCCCTTAGGGGGTGAGGCTGTGCCCTCTTGTCTGTCTCTTGCACATCTAGCTCTGTGTGTGTGTGTGTGCGTGTGGTGTGTCTTGTCTGCCCTGGTGACCCAGGATCCCTTAGGAGGTGAGGCCGTGCCCTCTCGTCTGTCTCTTGCACATCCAACTCAGTGTGTGTGTGTATTTCTGTCTGTCTGTCTGCCCTGATGACCCAGAATCCTTCAGGAGATGAGGCCATGCCCTCTCAGGTGTCCCACGCTGCCCAGCTGTGCATCCTTGCCCTGGTGACCCTGACCCCTTGGCTGGTGAGGCACGCCCTCTCACCTGTCCCGTGCAAGGCGCAGTGCAGGGCCTGAGTGTGTCTGAGGGGTGCACAGATGTCGTTTGTGGGGGTGCCGCCTTGCTGTGCTGTTGTCTTCTCAGTTCTTGGTGCTTCCCCTGGGACTGCGCGGCCAGCCTGGAGGAGGCAGGCTGTGGGCCACACACCCGGCCTCGGGCTCTGCCCTTCCCGCTGCGTCCTCAACGGCCTCTGCCTTTGGTCCCACAGAGCTGCGGTGCAACCCCGGGCAGTTCGCCTGTCGCAGCGGCGCCATCCAGTGCATCCCTCTGCCCTGGCAGTGTGACGGCTGGGCCACTTGTGAGGATGAGAGCGACGAAGCCGACTGTCCAGGTGAGCGTGTCGGGCAGCGGCATGCACGGGACCCGTCTGTCGTGTCTGGGCGTGTGCCTCTCCTGAGCGGGGGGACGCTGGGGCAGGAATCCGGCCTCTCCACGTGCGGGCACCTCTGTGCACGCTGACCCCTCTGTCCCGTGCGTTCTCTCGCCGTCTTTTTGACAGGATGCTCCACATGGGGACCCTCAGAGCCTGCACATGGCAGACGCGGGCTGTGGGGAGGCAGGGAGGCCCTGCAGCCCTGCTCCAGCATCGCCCCGGAGTGGCCCCCCGAGGGCCGTGCTCAGCGCCCACCTGGCCGCTCTCACCTGTCCCCGGATGTGGGGCCTCCGGAGGCGTGTCCGGGACCCTGGCGAGTGTGTTATTTTAGGCCAGCCTGTGCACTGCCCGCCTCTTCTGCTCGCATGTGCTCGGGCGGCCTCACTCGTGGGCTTCTCCGGCGACAGGGGGGCTCCCGGCGATGAATGGCGAGGCCACCGCAGTCTAGTCGTTCTCCACCCGCTCTCCGCCCCGGCACCCTCGAGGGACGTAGCTCACCCCAGGAATAGCAGTTCCCTGCATCCACAGTTCTCAACCCGGGCTAGGGCGGCGGCGCAGCACCCCTCGTGGGTGAGCGGGCGGCTCACACATACGGGCCTCCAGAACTTCATGGAAATGTGCAACAGTATGGATTCCAGGGTTTTTCTAGAATTACTTTTTACTTATTTTTTATTCATCATTTTTAAAATTTGGTCAGAGAGATAGGGGAAGTGGGAAAGCAAGCCACCAGATCTGGGACTCGAACCGCTGTTAACCATGTCAGAGTCCAGCACTTTAACCACTATTCCACCAGCTGTTCCCCTCAATTTTTCTTTTTCTTCTTTTTTTTTCTTTTTAGAGAGGTTTTTGCTATAGGGCACGTGCGTGTGCTCGCCCGAAAGAGAGAGACAGAAAGCAAGAAATCATCCCCGCCCCGGGGGGGGGATGGCCACGCCGCAATCCCTTCTCCTCTCAGGGTCTTAGGCACACATGCACACACACCCGGTGTAAGTTTAAGCCACCGGGTATGGGACTCGAACTGCAGTCGACCACATGGGAGTCCAGTGACATAACTGTTACACCAACTGCTGGTCCCTCTTTTTCTTCCTTTTTTTTTTTTTGGAGAGGTTTTTGCTATAGGGTGCATGCGCTCGCCAGACAGACAGACAGAGATAGCGCCTGAGGCACTGGTCATTCTTGCTGTGGCAGATGCCTGGTGCCCAGCTCCCTTCAGACCGCGAGCCCCGAGGGCAGGAGGCCCACCCCCGTCACATGTGGAAGCATGCTGCAGTCCTGTGCGCCAGGTGTCCAGAGAAAACGGGTCATCCCGACCAGTGGGACGTGACACTTGGGCTTGGCACAGTTCTTCGAGGGGAGGTCTGAGAGAAGAAGAGGTGGTCTGGTCAGACTGCGTCTGCCGTGGGTTAGCTGTCAGAGGGGCCCTCAGAACCGTGTCCCCAGCCCGTCTGTCCCTCCCGGGGTCTGGTCGGGCTGCATCTGCCGTGGGTTAGCTGTCAGCGGGGCCCTGGGAACCGTCTCCCCAGCGTGTCTGTCCCTCCTGGGATCGTACCTGTCTCCGTGGAGGTGTCAGAATGGCCACGGCCCAGTCGGGGGCCTCTAACCTGCACCTGCAACCCAGGTCGTTCTTGGGCCCCAAAGGCCCTAGAGAGTGGCTCCCCTAGTGCTTGGGTTGCAGGTGGTCTATGGTTGTCCAGCTGGCAAGGGCCACGGGTCATGAACGGGGTCCCCCCGGCCCTGCTGGTGGAGCGGGACCTCATAGCCAGCCTCTCGGAGACTTTGCTCAGGAAGGACCCGAGCGGTTCTTGGCTGACTCACAAATGAAAGCACCGCTCCCTGTGGTCCTCGAAGTGCCACTTGGTCTCCTTGTGTGTAACAGCTACCCTGGGGTAGACCCTGGAAACCACGGGGGTCACGCTGTGGTCGTCATCGCGTTGTCTCTACCCACCGTGAACCTAGGGACGAGGACTAGCTCTGCTGCTCGCAGCTCACACGGCTGGCACAGAGGAGGCGTCGGCTCTGTACGTGGGCGTCAGCCTGAGTTAAGAGATCGCCGCACGGCTGGCCAGACAGAAGGGTCGAACGTATCTTGCCAGCCAGAGCTGTGAGCAAGCGGCATGGCCTTGAGGCGTGGTGAAAGGAATGGTGTGCGCAGACGCACAGGGGACAGGGCTTGGGTGTGTGGAGGAGGGCCGAGGGGGCGGTCGCCCTGTCAGGTCTCACATGGTTCCCGCTAACTCGTGCCACCGTGTCTGTCCCGTGCATAGTGCCGTGTCACACTCCGGGGGAAGCAGATTGATTTCTGGTGTTTTTTTCTTTTTAAAGAATTGTTTCTGTTATTTTATTTATTCATCCATTTATTTTAATTTGACTAACAGAGACAGAGAGAGAAGTGAGAAAGCAGGCCACCTGGTCCAGGACTCGAACCGTGGTCAACCATTTGGGAGTGTCTGGTGCCTTAACCACCATGTCACCTGCCCCCTTTTAAAAAAATTTTAACTTTTATTTATTCATTAATTTATTTTAATATGACACAGTGAGAGAGAGAGATAGAAAGTGAGAAAGCAGGGATGTCCAGTTCTTGATATTGGAATTCTGAGTATTTTAAGTTATAAAAACATGCAAAGAATAGGGACCAGCAGTTAGCATAATGGATATGTCACTGGACTCCCACGTAGTCGACCACGGTTCAAGTCCTGGACCCGGTGGCTTAAACTCATGACGGGCACGTGCGCGTGCATACCCAAGATCCCAAGAGGAGAATGGAGGAGAAGGGATTGTAGCGTGGCCATCCCCCCGGGGTATATATATATATAAAGAATAATATACTTATCTCTTAATTTCCCTGAGTTTAATAATTACTGAAATTTCATTATTTCTCTCTTACTTAAAATGTTTTTTAATAATTATTTTAACTTTATTTATTTATTTTAATTTGACCAGAGAGGGACAGAGAGAGAGAGAGAGAAAGGGAAAGTGAGAAAGCCAGCTGCCAGGTCCGGGACTCCAACCACAGTCAGCCGTGTGGGAGTCCAGCGCCCTTAACCACTGCGCCACCTACTGGCCTCATCTTTTAGTTTATTTTCAAATAAAATTTTAAAAACAATGAATTTAGAGGCAAGTCCCCATTTATGTTCTCGCTCCCCCCAAAAAAAGAAGAAAAATCTTTGTGTGGGAGAAGTAAGGGGCTAGCAGAAACCTACTTTCTAGAAGGTTCTAGAAGCGTGGCCTTCCTGTCCCGGGGAGAGTTTGAACAGCCCTGGGAGAAGCCCAGCTGTCTCAGTCAGGTGCTTCTGGACAGAGACGGCAGGGCTCTGGGGTGACCACCTGGGGTTGTCCACTGCCCTGATAGGAGCAGAGAAGGCACGAAGCCAAGCCAGGTGCAGTGGGAGCACCCGTGGCTTCAGCTGCACAAGAGGCCATGTTGTACTTCGTTGACTTCATTTATGCCATTGGGTCTTGTTTCTTCTGGGGTATCTTTCTCTTCTGTGCAACCTCCTCATCTGGTTTAGGGACAGCTTGCTCCTTTTCAGTGAGGATCAACTCGATGTGGCGGGGAGCCCCCGAGTGGGTTAATCCGCCCGTGCGCACTGTAAGTGCAGCGGTGCATCTTGGGTGCCTCGTTCACCCGAGTATGCCCGTGACCAGAGTCTCCATGTAACCCCTTACGTTCCGCACTGCCCTCTGCACTTTTAAGCACGTGCAGCAAAAATTCAGCACTCTTTCTGGGCCACCGACCCCGGGTCCAACCCCGCCGTTTGGCCTGGGCACATCTGCCAGCTCCACATGGTAACGGCAGAATGGCACACCCGGCTTCCGTGAAGTGACGTCTCTCAGTTACTTGGTGGCTTTTCGGACAGGTATACCCACGATGGCCTGGGCAGTTTCGGGGATGTCCTTAGAGTGAACACGAAGGTTTGACCCCCTTGACTTGCATGACTCTGTGGGGTTCTCTGGGTCCGGTGAATGGTGGACCGTTTTCAAAGATCACCTCAGGCTGCTTATGAGACCAGTGACCCTGCTTCTAACAAACAGGTAGCTAGAGAGAACAAGGTACCTACCCACAGGTACAAAGAAATGCAAGAAACGTGGCAGGTCCGCGTTTTCAGAAGACAGAGGGCAGGTGCTGTGCAGGTGCAGCCCGGGCACGTGGCACCTTCCCTCCCCCAGGCCCATCCCTGTAAGCCAGAGGCTGGGGCTGGGGCTGGAGCGCTCAGGGGCCGTGGGAAGTGGAGGTAGGCAGATGCCTCCTCCCTCTGGCACTGGGCTGGGTGCAAGGCCGAGGCCAGGGCAAATCTTGCAGTAGCTTGCGGGTTCCCCCACCGGCCAGCTGTCTCTGCAGCTGTGCTCTGCAGCCCGGGTTCTGGCAGGTTTTCCGCTGTTTGTCCTGACCCAGGTGGCAGCAGAGCTTCTGGACTCTGGGCTGCAGCTGCCAGTGTGAAGGGAAGGCTCGAGGTGCTGCTTCACATTTGCTTCCGCTCTAGGCTTGGCTTGGAGGCACCTGATTGCCTGTATGAAATCCCTTTGTGTCTGAAATCCTGCAGTGGTTTCTGTTTCCCTGACGGAGCCATCCTTGGTGTAAGTGGGAGTTAATAAAACATGCATGCAGAAGTCTGTTCATTTCCCTCTTGACAGAGTGCCAGTGTGCACAGTGCGGGGCAGGGGAGAAGCACCCTTGGCAGTCTCATCACACCATGACCCCCTTCCCCAGCCCTCCCGCTCGTCAGGGTCTTGGGCAAGCGCGTGTGTGCCTGGTGTGTTTTAGGTCAGCCACGCCAGGGATCCGACCCGGGTCAACCCTTGTGGCTTCCAGCACTGCCATTCAGTTTGTTGCCAACTGCCCCACTGAGGCTGGGCCAGGTGTGTGTGTGTTTACTATGGGGCGTGTGCACTTGCTAGAGAGAGACAGAGACAGAGAAAGTGAAAAGACATCCTGAGGGATGCCGGTGCCGCTGGCCCTG